AAATATTTGTATTTCAAAATTCACAACATTCACTTTTGATTTTTTGGTACAGTAAGCATTAAGCAGAGAGAAAATCAAATCAGTCGCTCAGCAGGAAGGAAGCAACACAAACTGAAAAGTGAGACCTTGGCTTTCAAATTCTGACCTAGATGTAGTAATTAATATGCACAAAGAAAATCTTACATGGACAAAACCCACAATTATGTGATTCAGGGCTTACTAACCTGGAGGGACTGAGTTTCAAATAATCCTGACTCTATACTAAGCTGCTATACATGTTTGCTTGGGCTGATTAAGTTATTTTTCCTGTAGCTAGGGAGAGCTAGCTCAAGAGAAGGTAACTCTAACATATTTGTACTTTTTTTTTTTTTTAAAAAAAAAAGGGAAAAAAAATACCTTAAGCTTTCAACATGGGAGACATCATTGTGGCCTTCCAGTACTTGAAGGGAGCATACAAACAGGAGGGGGAACAGCTGTTTAAGAAGGTGTATAGTGATAGGACAAAGGGGAATGGTCTTAAACTGAAACGGGGAGGTTTAGGTTAGATATTAGGATGAAGTTTTCCACACAGAGGGTGGTGGTGACACTCTGGAACAGGAGTCTGCCATCCCTGGAGGCATTCAAGACCAGGCTGGATGTGGCTCTGGGCAGCCTGGTGTGGTGCTGGGCGACCCTGAATATAGCAGGGGTGGGTTGAAACTCGATAATCATTGCGGTCCTTTTCAATCCAGACCATTCTATGAGTCTACAATATATGATAAAGAAATGAATACATCATTTTTTTTTAAAATCAGAAAGGCACAGAGCATATTATTACCAAAAGAACACTGCTTCATTTCAAAGAGTCATAAATTCACCTTAGTCCATTTCCAAGATCCCAGTTTTAAGATTTCTCCACACCTACATCACATGCTGCTTTTATACCAAGTATAATACCAACTATTTCTGAGTACTCTGGGAGCTTAATGACAAAAAACAAAACCAAGAAGAAAACTTAAGTACATCAATCACTGAAACAAACTCTCCCTTCCAATATACCTGTGAGTGCTGAAACTCCTGCTTAGATTACTTTAGTATTCCTGCAGATAGCATTCAAGCACTACAAACACTTTTACAGCAGAGATGGAAGGAGGTTTTTGCTTCAGAAAGGACTGCTGAAGCCTGCTTCCATAGATTGCAAAATCAAAGGATTATTCAGAAAGGAAAAACAGAGAGAGGAAGGACATGAAAGGAAGGAATCAATTTCAGTTTAAGCAAAGTTTTTTTCCAAGCGTTCCGTGCTTTATTTTACAAAACAGGCATTTATCCCAGAAACAGATACACAGAACTGAGAGCCCTGCAAGGCAATAATTCAAAACTCAATTATCTAAACAGTTATTATGACAAACATTCTACGTAAAGATTCAAATTTTTAGCTGCCAGACAAGATGTCCAGTTCAATGAACAAAGGTTCTTTCTATGAAGAAGTTAGGAAAGTTCTGCTTTGCTAGCATTTTCTTTTAAGATTCACAGTTTCAGCTCCAACTGATTTAATGTGTATGAAAACTCACAAGCTCAACCTGCCCTCAAGATACACATCTCATACCCAGTGACACGACTGTATTATCAATTCATTTCCTCCTAACATAGTGTAAGCAAGCATCCCAAATCACGTGCTACATACAAGAGACCACTATGATAAACAACACTGAGACACCTACAACACCAACACCTTAACAACCCGAAAATTAATTTTGACTTCATTTATTTTTTAAAAAACCTCTTCTCCCTTTACCTCTACCACTTTTTTCCCCAAACATGCCCAGCTGTCTCCAGCACTAAGATGGCAATTCCCTTGCCCCAGTTTTCACATTTGTGAAGATCAACAAGCAGCACTGGACTATGCAAAGAGCAAGGACAACCTGTGGCAGCTAAAGAAACCATAAGGGAGAGTAAGTTCTCAGTTGGTTAGACAGTCAGCTCACCGTAAAACACTGTTGCATACCTTTACTCAAACCTGCAATTATGTTGCTTCTACATAATGCATCCTCCCCTTTCTAAAGTTAAGCTACTATAATGGGAAGTAAAACCTTCTGCTAAACAGATTCAATTTGGCTCTGAAAAATGGTTACATAAAAATGTCACATTATTCATAAAATCCAGAAGACTTGGGGAAAGCCAACAGAAGTTTCAGACAGAACAGGATGAATCATCCACCTGAGATTAAACCAACCACTACTCCCAGAGGAGGGTAGAATGGCAAAAAGATCAGGTTGGAAACTACTGAATAACACTTTAATCAAGAGCTCTAAAGTGAAGTTAAAGAAAAGCGAGCAAACGCAAATTCTGGAAGTCTTATAGACAAAAAGGATGCATGAGGTGGAATGTACAGCTTTAAAAACAATATACTGAACTTGTGAGGTCGCTAAAGATAGTCATGAAACGATGCCGCAGCCAAGTACAGCAGTAGGGTAATATAAGGGGCTGTACAGATACAAGACTTGGGTTGTGCATTATAAAATGCTCAGTGCCACGTGTGAATGTCAACCAATTGACAGCCGACAACTGACCATGTGTGTGACATTAGTGAAGCACTAAAGCCATATTGCCAGTATCAATTCAACAGCAACAAACTAGTGAGATTTGCATAGAATAGAATCATGAGACTTCTAAGTGTTGAGAAGATATGCAGAGATTAATTCTTTAGCTGCCATAAGTAATTGTGTGTTGAAGCAACTGGTCACAGCAGACACAAAAGGAAAGACACCCTTTATTTAACCCACAGTACCTACACTAATATGTAGCTTCTGAAGAATACTCTGTAACACGAGTATCAACACACTCATATTCAGCACTTAAAAAAAAAACCACTAATTTCAGCAATGGAAGCAACATAACGAAGATGCTATTAGAAGATAATTAGAGGCAGATATTATGAGGCAGAATGCAAGCATCAAGACAATTTTTTAGAGACGTACATAGAACACTGAAGAACATCTTGCTGAAGGAATCACTACTTCTCTAAAGACAGCAAAAATAGAAGAAACCTCCCCAAAACCTAGGGACAACAGATTTTGAGCTGTGCTTTCATCTGCCTAGCATTTTCCTTTTGCATCTTAAACCATCTCTACATATATGCACACTACAGAGGACACGAAAAGTACATGTAAATTCTCTGTGGAAAAGACAGCTTGAGATCTGTTTCAGACAATGATTTTTTCTAAAAGAAGCAATGAAATCAATTTCCAGGGAATGCTCTTAAGTTGTCACCTTTACCACAGCAGTGCTAAAGGAATTCAGATATTGAAGTTAAACACTACATGGCAAACTAATATTCAAGTCAACTTCATTTTAAAATGTCTTCTAGGAGGATTCAAGAGACTGCAGATAAATCTGTATCAAGCTGATACTGAAAAGTTACAAGAAAAAGAATTAGTGGGCACATAAGCAAATCACATATCACAAAGAAAAGCCAAAGGAGCAGTTGCAGATTGGTGCCATGCTTCCCTGATCAAAAGTTTTTTAAAAGAACAGGCAAGTAGATAAGGAATGACATGCCTGAGAGAACCCACGTGAGTTATTTAACTTCTTAGAAGTTCTTTACAAAGACGCTTTAAAAATAAATAAAGGAGGGGGGGAAAAAAAAAGAGGAAAACAAAAGAACAAAGGAAAAACCCTCTCAAACTACGAACAAAATCCCCAAGCAATTTTGGAATAAAGCTACTGTTATGGGTAACAAGTGATGTTTCCCCACCTATTCAGTCCGACTGTTTCTTGTACAGAAATATAAACATTTGATGGTTTTTGCTCAAGCTATCAACACTCCTGAAGTTCTGTCCAAACAGAGAAAAGGACTAGCTGTTACGCCCCATGATTTTCCTCAGTCTATTCAGAGGAACTCCATGCTGGAGTCCCATAATTAAATTGATTGCTCTCCGTCCTTGTCTCTGCTAGGTTTTGCCTAAACTCATTCATCTCACCTCACTATTACAACAGGGATACTAGGATAAAACATCTAAGCCTTTACCTGTCATCTTTGCAAGACTCCTTTGGAAGGCACATAAAGCTAAAACACCATGATTTATTCACTACACAAAGAGAAGTTGCCCAGGGTTCCTTCAAAACCCATATTTCTTATGATTGAAGTGTTTATGGTTTTTATCAATTTATCACAATAATTTACATTTAATCGTGCAGCAGTGAGATTCCTACAAACCTCACAAACAATACAGCACTCACAGCAGGTAGCATGCAGGAATGTATCAGGTACCTAGTGATTACCTCTCACCTCAGAAATTTATTCTACCTCTAAAGCCACAAGACTACATTGTCTAAATGACTGCTATATAGAACATTTGAAAATATGACAAGGAAAAACTGGCAACTTATTCCTAGAAAGGCAAGGATACAAAGCAGAAAGGCAAAGGATACAATTCATCAATCACCTGCATAAAACAGAAACCTGCAATCTTTTACAAACTGACATACTGCTTCCTCAAGAAGTTCAGTCTCAAGTGCCTGCAATAAAGAAAGCTTGCCCTCTTTGGACAGTTAAGCCATCAGCTGTGCTTGCAACCATGCTCTGGACGGCACGTAACCAAGTGCAGATGAAGACCTCAGTTAAAGGAGCTTAAGGAACATAAATATACAGGAAAGCCTCATCATGCTATCACTTTCTGGATTTGTTCACTTTATCATCCAACACTTCCCACAGCTGTATGTAGATTGCCACTTCTCCCAGTAACACTCCACTTCCCATTTCACACTGCAGGTACTTGTGATCACTTGGTGTCTTTTTTTTTTTTTTTTTTTTTTTTTTTGAGATATCTTTAAGGCTTACTGCAATGAGGAAAGAATAAAGTCTTTTTGTAACTGTGCCAACAGCCCTCTTGCTTGCCTTTACCTAAAACACTCAGCATAATCGTCCCAGTCATCTATAGTTAACAGACTAGAGATAAAGAAAAAAGAAAATGCAATTTGTCATTTGGATCATAATAATAGTTTGATATCTACATCATTACCTTGCCTGTGCTTTGTAAGATTGTAGTTCTTGTCCTCCATACTCTCTCCCTGCTGACAATATCTCTGGTTACATCCACTTCAGCATCAACAAAACTTCTCTGTTTAAGAGCAGTTATGTCATCATCCAGATCTGTTTTGATAGTGGATCTTTTCTTTGCCATGATTTTTGCTTTGATAGCAGCAATTTTTTCCACTGACATGGCTTCTGACAAGGACCTAAATGAGCAAAAATAGCAGAAGAGACTGAGTAACAGCACAAACAATTCTTCTGAAAGAATTTGTGAAATTTCCTGCTGCTTAAAGTTTATGTCCATGCCATAAGAAGTCACCTCACGTGTACCTAAAGATTATACAAGCCTGAACAATGTTTTTGGCATTAGAATCCTTTTTTTTCTGACACAAAGGTTCCATACAGGTATTAGCACAAAAAAAGCCATCATAATATCTTAACTGTTACACGCAGAAATAAAAAGTGCAAATGTAAAGCATCAGTTCTACCATTTCCAATTATAACGTCATCTGAATTTCAACTCCAAACTTCTTACAGCAAATTATACTTCTGTGTGTAGTCAGTCAAACCCTGGCTGCTCTGAGACTTAGGAAGCATTACACCAAGTTTAGGTCGAAGCTCTGTTATGCGGACTTGAGCACTGGGAAGTTTGATGTTACCTTTACAGAGCACGTAGGCCAAACAAACAGATGGTAGTAACTTTGTCCACACTAAACTCTATGTGAGGAAGCTCAGCTCAATCCAATATCTTTGTCTGTTTGCTTTTAATTGTGAACACAGTAGGATTTGGTTGCCAAACAGTGAGCCCTATTGTTTTCCAGGTAAACTGTACAATAAAAAGCACTGAATTGCACAATCTGAACTACATATATCTGATTCAGTTGTGCATGGGTTTTTTTCTGAGATCACATTGCTTCACAACCAGTATTTATTGTATTAAGTGTTCTACTTCCTTACATGACTAAGCTACTGGATAAGGAACTTTTCTGCATTGCTGCAACAGTGACAAGCACACACTCCAAGCTAATGGCCTGTGAATGTCACTTGCACTTTTAAAAAGGAAATTCCCTGCATTAATATTAAGCCTCTGTAAATATAGAGCACAAAGTAACTATGAACAATATTCAGTAATCCTTACTGCAGCACTGTTTCATATTCTAAATCAAAGATGTGACACATTCCTGCTAATATCCACATTATCACCTTACACAAAACACCATACATAGTTACACTTTTTGATTCTTAGGCTCTCTTCAGTCAGCTGCAACAATAAAATCTGTCTTGTTCCTTCCCCACCTCTCTCCCCCTCTCCCCTCTCTCCCAGTTACCTTTTATGCATACCTATAGAAGACAGGGATGACAAAGTTGCTGTTCTTAAGAGTGATTAAATTTACTTGGCTACCTTAGCTGTAGCAAGTCTAACTGGTAAATTTAATCCTGGCACAGGATAAATACACATTCACAGTTTTGTTTATGCTCAAGAAACGAATTTCTCAAGAAAGCAGATAGTCTATCAAGTGAAACTAGTGATTTGCAAAATCTAACACAGATGAAATACGATGTTAATGCACATTCCTGTGCTTCCTGCAAGTAAGGTGTGACTCACATTTTGCATTCTTAAAGCTGACAAACAACAACAAAAAAAATGTAACAACTATACTTACATCAAAGCTTCAGAATTTAGATATTTGAAAATGAGCTGCTAGAGCCTTGCATCTCTAAGCCTTACTACCTACTAAGCCCCAAATTCTTATCATTAACAAGGTCTTGCAATAATTTCATTTTCTCTCAGTCTGGCTTGGGAAATATGTGATGTCAGACACAAAAGCAGCTGTCATTCTCTACGAAACTCTGAATACAAACAACTGAAAAAAAAAAAAAAAGCTAACAGGCAAATTTTTAATCACTTGAGTACTGATTACTACTTAAGGCAGTGACAATACTTTGACCTCTGGAACTTACTGCCTCTTCAGTAGAAACAAGCTCACCTCTGCAGGGAGCCAGAGGCCCTGTTAATTTGGGACACAGTCCTGCAATGTGCAATGTTCTGCACAGTCCTCCTCAACATAAGATTATTATTATTATTATTTCGAAATACAAAGAGTTCATAAGACTTCCGTTGCAGCTCTCCTGATTGTTTTAGACTCCTTGAATAAATACTATGGCAGAAGAAAGGGTAACTGGTACAGTTTGAAAAGGAGACAGTTAACAGGAGGCAACTGCTCTGAATACAAACTGTGGTACTTCATGCCATGACATCTGAACTTCCACCCAAGAACAGGAGAATTATTCCCAGGCATGAAGTTCTGCCCCCTCAAGATACAATTTTTGATTATAGCATCTCAAAAGAGTGAGAGCAGGCTATTGCTGCGAGTAGCCGGACAAAATAAAGACCATATGTCTAAAGTAACACACTTGTTATCAGGCCTTTATTTTAATGTTATCCATAGGAAATTCAAGTATCCCTACCTGATCTGCTCTGTCTGCACGATACCTTCTTTATGCCCCTCCAATCGAGCTGCCAGCCGCTCTTTGTCAAGGCGCACACACTCTTCATCCTGGCAGTAACAGTAATGGTTAATTTTGGTGTATTGTCTTCAGTAAAACAAAACTAGAATTAAAACTATTCAGAATACTTTAAAAAAACTAAGAAGGTCTACCTTGATTTCCAAGAATAACTTACTCTAGTATTCATTTTACAAACGATACATCACCTCAGAGCAATCATGTGCTTGTATGCCATTACAAATGCCCAAATTTCTTACAAATTCTTATGCAGACACAGTTAAACACACAATTATTTTCAGTAATTCTTAACTCCAAGAAGAAACCTAAAGCCTTAACACTCCGGAGGTACATACAGCCAGAACAGAAAACTCAGAATTATCAGCAAGGAGACAACTGGATGAACATGTTTAAAAAATAATTGATAAAAACAAAGTCTTTAAAATCAGGCAGAATCAAGTAATAGTGTGTGTAATATTTAGACACATTGCTCTTGTGGAAATACATCATTCATTACTTAAGACAAAGCTTCAGAAAACTGTTTAGATTTACTTCAGATTTACTGTTTTCTGAAGCTTTGTCTTAAGTAATGAATGATGCAAATCACAGGGACAACAGTTATATCTGCTATAAAGAAACTGAAAGAGCAGATAAATAAGTAAACATTTATAAGACTGGCTTTTAAGTTATAACAGCAAGTCACAAACGGCAGTAATTACTCATCAAACAGCATGTAGATTCCAATCCCATGGTTCCTAGCAAGCAGATCATAATATAACTAGCACTTATAAACACAAGGTCAAGCTTTACCCTTTTACACTACAACATACGTCCAGTAACTAAAATTCCAAGTTTAACCCAGAGGCTGAAACCTGCAAGTTCTAACTCCTTCCAGTTCATGTACATGCTAACAGAAGTAACACATGCACCCAGAGGATAGGCAGACCAGCTGAACTGTACTATCATTTACACTCCTTTTCCCCAGATTTGTTTTGGAAACAGCTAATCTTATTACCTCTATTCTTGGCTTCTTTGCTTCCGCTAATATTTCATCTGCTGCTCTCTTAACTACAAGAAAAACAGGATATTAAAAATGCAGTATTGTAGAAGACTTTCATAAAATGAGTACTGAGACTACTTTCTAGTTAGACTGTACCTTGAGTGGAACGTTGAAGACCAATTTCAAGTGGAGCACTTCTGTCTATGCTTGATGACGTTGCTGAAATCAAACAACATTTCATTTAAGTATAAAACATTTGCTAAAGTATTTCAGCATAAAAGGATGAAGGACAGCAGATAAACCTCAACAACGGAAATTCTAATTAGTGAAGTTGGTCAAACACTGGAATCAGATCTGTCCAAAATCTGACTCCACATGAAGTTAAGATCAGATTATTCAGGGTCATTTGGCTCTTCTTCAAAAAGAAGATTGAATCGCATCACATGACTCTTGTCCCTTCCAACATCAAATAATCAGCAACTAACTCTATGACGTGCATATACGGCACCAAATAAAACAACTGCTAAAATAGTTACATATAACCTGCAATTAAGAACTACTGGTTCATCTAATTTTTTTTAAGACAGGCATCCTAGGGGCCCCTCTAAAACATAAAAAAAGCTTACTGTTCCTATTACAGAAATTACTTCATTGCAACAAACAGAAGGTCATCTGTGGTACAGAATGACTTGTAAAACTAGGTCATATTTATCTTCTAGTCACAATTAAACCTCCTCTCTCTGATTACTGGCAACTGAAATTTTAACATGATTAAATACCAGTACAATCTTCCAGACTGAAAAAGCAGTGATTTGATACATTTTATTTTGCTGAAGTTTTTATCCCACACACTTACTGCATTAAAAACAATGTGAAACTACTGAAAGTTTCTCACAGTCTAAAGAGAACAAAATACAAACTCTGAGCATTCTAGGACAACTATCAGGCAAAGGATGTTAAGAAAACTATGAAAAGTAACTCAGTTTGAACATGATTATAGTAATGCAGCTCCTATCTATGCATCATAAAAATATTTAAGTTCAGAACAAAATGGAGGAGAAAAAAGAAAACCTCATTTTGTTAGCAAAGTCTGAACGTATTCAGTTAAGTTACAAACTGACCACAATTTAAATCCAATAAATACGTGTTTAATAGAACTCATCACTCACATGTTTCCCCATTTAGGTATGCAAGCAAGTCTTTTCTATCAGGTCTTCTTACCACAGGAATGTTTTCAGTCTGAAAGGAGAGCAGACGCAACATTAGAGAGTTGTTTCCTTACAGAGCCTCTTGATGAAGATTTCTCCCTTTTACTGAACACCACTCATTCACACAAAGACAAGAACATGTAACCTGCATCACAAGAAAGCATAGCTATCAAGACAAAAAAAATACAGTCACTATCTAGAGGATGTCCTGCTACAGAATATGAACCGACATTTGCTCTAAAATAAAGGACAGATTCTTTCCTCCTTCATTTTACACTTGCAAATAAATAGGACTTTTTCAATACACACATACTTGGTTGCATAGTTTTTTCCCCTTTTCCAGGGAAATTCAGACAGTTAAACACTACAGTCATTCTCTGAACATAACCGTGCAAACATTACTTCAGACAAACAGGACAAAATGAAGTTCTGCATTGTCTACTTACTGCAGCACGACGGACATAAACAGGATGTGAAAGGTGCACATTATTGAGGAGGAACAAGATAGAATCCAAAGTGTAGTATTCCCTGGGCTGACCTTCCTTCCCTGTCCTGTAAAGTCAAGAAACAAAGACTTTAACATTTAACCACCCCAAAAGTCCTCTCCTTTCCACATAACAGTATTACTGCTCGCTTTTTGAACTGACATCAGGCTATTTCCTGATCGTGTTAACAAACACTGGTAACAGATATGTGTTCTTATAGCCTACTTACTGAATGCACTATAAAAACTGTCCAAAATAAGAGCCAAATAGGTTGTACAGCATACAGGCAAGATTTAAAAAACCATATTCTCTTCTGTCTCAAACATGTTTACTCCTCTGATTATCAAAGGAACAGTCTACTTTTCCTGGGATATGCAGAAGAATGCATTTGAACTGCAAATGAACATCACATACTGTTCACTTAGCACAGAACTGGAAGGTTGACAACACGAACCTCAGACCTTTACAAACAAACAGACCTTTACTAACAGAGAGAAAAATATTTCAAAATACTGTTAGAATTAGTAGAATAAAGGATCTTTTTATCTCTGTTCCTTCCAAAAACTTAGCCTGCATATGTGCACAGCAGAGGGGAGGGTTGTATTTTGTTGCAAGCACAGGCAAAGGGATGAGACTCAGAAACCACACAACTGCTAGAAAACCAAAAGCTGGCTGAACACCTACAGCCCACAAAGCTGGGTTACTTCACAAGGAATTGTTTGGCTGTTATTGTTTCACTGTTATCTCTGATCAGGTGGCACACACACTTAGAGCACTGCTAGAAGTGAAAGCTTCCTCCAGGCAGACTTGACACACGCTACACTTCAGAACCATGTGCCACAGTTGCTGCTTCATTTTGAAATGCACATTGCAGGTTCTCTCTTTTCAGACTAAGTTATTATACCTCTGAAGCACATCACAGCCTCTGAACACTATACAGGAAGTCCAGCTGTTCACTTACTGGAAATTTTTATTTGCACTACCTAGCAGTGAATGGCATTATTTGGGAGGCAAATGCTGAGCGGTTCTATCTTAATTTAAGAAGCCAGTATGACAATGTCAAAGGCGCTGCCCAAGCTCAGCAGTGCACAGCTGGTACTCCACCACTTGCAAGAAAACCCCATGTTCGGCATGGCTGTTAGGGGTGTCCTGTTAGGAGGGCAGTTTTCAAGGCAAAGTGTCAAATGGACAAGCAGGGGTACAGCAAGGAGATAACAGAAGTCAGAACTGGCATTTTAGCATCACACTGTGGTCCTTTCAGATTTCCCACAGAGAACCTGCTCACTAAACAGAGAGCTAAAAGCTTGCTGATATGAATGTAGCTTACTTCACACAATTAACCAAAATCAGAATAGCTAAAGAAATGAATAATCCTTTTATCCCTTTTTAATAATGATATCAATTATTTCAGACCTTGTCAGTCCAGCACTACTATTTTTATTTGTTTTTTTTATTTATTTATTTATTTATTAAAATACGCAAGTCTCAATTTCTCAATACCCATTAAACTCCAGCTTAAAAACTGAAGCAGAAGAGATGTACGTAATGCAGAAGAGAAAGTTCCACCTGGTTAGTTTTAATTGCACAAATGTATTTCCAGTTCATGCATTCACACTGAACTTTTGGGCAACAGGAGTTCACTCATCCTTTAACTGTTCTATTTCTTCTTGTGTGTTTGAAAGCATAAGGGCCTGCATCCTATCCGTGACAGAAAGTGATAATCCTCAGAACCACAAGACTAGACATGCAGAGCACCCTCCAAACTATAACAGCCACAACTAACAGCTCACTGTTTAAAAATTTCTCAGATGTGGATATGATCCCTCTGATGGGTAAACAAGGCAGCTAAGGCGCTCTGTTAGATTGATTCCTGCTTTTGGTTTTGAAACTCATTCTATACTCACTCTTATGCAGCCAGAAGTCAAGCATTAAACCAAAACACACGCCTTCAAAACTATTCAGTTATGTTCCACGGATTCAATCTGGGAACTAACCTGGATTAAAATGAACCTCTGTATGTTTTTCAGGCTGCTTTTCAAGCAGCACCGTTCCTCAGAGCAATGCACTGCAGACAGCCCCTGGTGCCAGCAGGGAGAGCAGGCAGTGCAGGGCAGCTCAGCATACCCGCAGCACCGCTGGCTCCTGCCAGCTCCGTGCTCAAGGAGCAAGTGTTAAATGTCTACTGGGACTACTTCTAATTCTAGAAGGGACAGAATGCCACCACTGCTACTCAGACTTAGATTACTCTCTCCTGACTGCAGGAGATTGTAGAGATGCAATTACAGCAACCACGCTGTAGACACCTAAGATGGAAGTCGTATTTGCCTCATGAAAGATTAAGCTACAACAACTGCAAGCACAGCTTGGTCCCTCCCAAGTGATCGAGGATATTAGAGGTTTTGAATCTGAAAAGTTCCTGAAGATGTTCCATGTATGACCCTGAAATTACATAAATTAACAGCTCATAAACTATGATGTCAAAGCTGCTCAGCACGGCTTGTAGAACTGGTTTCATTTTTACACCTTTGTTTCAAGGACTTAAAGTACCCATGGTTCACAAGAAATGCTCTGCAACAGTAGCAGTCTGATGCTACCAGAAGTTCAGATGCCATCTTCTTGAGTGTGAACTACAATTTACTAAAATAAAGAAAAAAAAGATATCCCTAAAATCTGTCAGAAGACAAGAGGAAATACATAGCTGTTACAAAGCTACTGCTTCTGTTCAGCTACGCATACCCTCTGCTCACCCCCAATCCTTCCTCCATATAGATAAAGCCACCTTAACGCGCATAATAAAGTTTTTCTCTCCAGACGCTGTCTTCTTGTCTTTTGGTAATAACTCACAGGCCCAAATCAAGTTTTCCTAAGCATTAGTAGTTCGGTTTGCATATCAGCTTGTGTGTTCCTACAGAACAGGGATGAAAGTTGTCTGTCCAGTTAGCCTTTACTCCTTACTGCTCAAAAAGACAAACTGCAGCAAGGAAAACACCCTAACTGCCCAGAGTTACTCAGCAGAACAGAATGAGCTTTGAAGTCCTTGACAAATTCTCAGCTGCTTATGCAGATATTTCTCTTCCTCCCTACGTACTTACCAGCATCTCCCTCGCAGCCAGGAAGTGCAACTAAATCCCAAACAAGTTTCTGAGAGCTTGAAACAGATAACGAGATAGCACAATTCTAGTTCTACACTGTGAGCAAAATAAAGCCAGTTGAAACAAATTAATCTGCCTATGAACTAAGGGAATAGTTTAAGTTTCCTTTCTCTCTTGAAGTACAAATCAGGACATTGCACCACTACTAACATTCTCATCGTAACACCAAGAACAAAACAAATCCCTGCTCTCGGGCTGAACAACCAGGGGTTTGCTTGAGAAATCTTTCAGTTTCCTCTACTTCTCTACCATGTTTTAAAGTATTCTTTTCGATCGGCAGCACTTTGTATCTAACAGAAAGCATCACTTTCCCTCGGTTTTAAAGGCTGTGTTTTACGAGGCTCATTGAAGCCCTTCCAGCGTGGATGTTAAATTATATCACCGCTCAATAGAGAAAAAAGAGGAAGTAACCTCCTGTGTTGTAAACAGCGCAATCAAAACCAAGTTCAACAGGTGCAAAAACTCTTTTTTTCTTCAAAACCCACTACGCCTAGCAGCACCGTTTACGCAGTAGGCACAGCGCACGTACGAGGAGGGCACTGCGCCGGGCCCACCCGCAGGCGGCCGAATGGCAACCGGAGCTCTCAGAGGAGCGCCTCTCACCCCGCACCGCACCAGCCCTCCGGTCCCCGAGGCCGCCGGCCACACACCGAGCCCGGACCCCGTCCGGCGGCACCCGGCCCGGCCAGGCCTCGCCGCCGGCCGGCTGAGAGAGGCCGAGGACGGCGCTTCCCGGCCGTGCGCTGCGCTCCGCCGCCGCCTCCCGCAACTTCGAGGCGACTTCTTCCCAGCTCCCGGCCCGCCCCGTCTCCACCACAGCGGCCACCCACCGCCCCGTCGGCCCCGGCGCTCACCCCCAGATGACATAGTTGGTCTTGACATTCTTCGGCCAGGAGAACTCGCCGAAGATCACCTCGTCGCCCTTCACCACGATCTCCTTCTTCTGCGTGTTGTATTGCCGCAGCACGCTCAGCACGTCCGCCATCTTCGCCCGAAGCCGCCGGCCGCCGCCGCTCCGCTCCGGCCCGGCCCCTCCGCCAGCCGAGGAAGGACCCCGCCGTCGGCCGCCAGGCCCTGGGCTGCCTGCGTCGAACGCCTGATAGCAACCGACCTGCCGGGCCCGAAAAACCGAGGTGCGGGCGCAAGCGCGGGCCCGAATAACGCTTTATAACTGGCTTAAGAATCTAACAGCATAACGGCCGCTCCGTCTCCCTCACCGCTGCTGCCCGATGGACGGCGGGCACAGGCAGAGCGCCGGGCAGCCGCGCTTCCCGCGGGGCGGTGCTGAGAGGAGGAGCCTGAGAGCGGTGCCGGACCGCCGTGAGGACTGCGTGAGAGCACCGCCCCTTCCTGGCGGCCGCCATGTTCCTGCAGAGGGCGCTGCGCCTGCAGGGCCGGTGGGTTGGGGGCTGTGAGGAGGGGGCGGCGGAACGGGCCGGTGGGTGGGGGGAGCTGGGTACAGCCCGTATCATCTCTTGGGAGGGTCTGGGTGATCTCACAGCTCATAGCAGGCTGTTAACCTCCGTCTTCCTGCCTGCACGAGGGAACCGGCAGTGCAGGGTAAGGCGCGTAGGAACTGCCGTACTGCGGGCTTTGTGAGCTCCCACCTCACGGAGGAATTCCGTTTAAAGAAAATAGTACGAAGCCAACCTTTAAATTGGGGACTGCACAACGTGTCGTGTGTTAAACTTAAATTTCTCTTCAGTTTTAGAATGGGAAATAGGCTGCCCACCTCTGTCGAGCTGTCTGATGCTGCTGCTGTGAATCAGATCCAGGTAACAGGTGATCCTCAAACTTAGTATTGCTCGTAGTATTGGGGTTTAAACCTTGTAAAGTTACCCGTCCCAAGAGTTTGTTGCTGTAGTAGCAGATTGGTAGCTTGCTGCTTGTTTTCATACCCATTGGATACTGTTAAAATACACCAACTTACTAACTTGAATGTTCTTTTGAATATATAGGAGGTAATCTCAGGCAACTGCGTGGTGATTTTCTCTAAAACAACATGCTTCTACTGCAGAATGGCAAAAAAACTTTTTGAGGGTTTAAACGTCGATTACACAGCTGTAGAACTGGATGTGAATAAAAATGGAAGCCAGTTCCAAGACATTCTTGAACAGATGACGGGTGGCAGAACAGTAAGTATGCGGTTTTTTTTTTTTTTGCAAGTAATATGGCGATGAAGAACTTACACTGCACATTTTCCCTATGGGTTACAGCCATCTTGAGGACTTAATTTTTGGTGGGCCAAGTAAATTTAGGATACAAGCTCTGAAATTAAAAGCAAGAACTGCAAGAGAGTTCTGTGCTTGGTTTTCCTCTTCAGGTCTGAGAGGTGTTGTTTTCAGTAATGCTACTAAGATCATTTAAGTATCAAACTCAGTTTTCATCTGCACGTACACTTCATTGTGTACAACATGTTTTATGTCTTAATTTTATGTAGCCTTGCCTGACTCAAATTTTAAAAATTTATTACAATCTTCCATATAGTGATTTTATTTTCCTTTTGAGAGGAACACGTAAACAAAGTCTTCGATTTCTGTAGACATAAGTTATGCAATAATACTGAAACATGAATTTGTATATTAAGAATGTAAATATTTCATATGTATATATTCACACACATACACTCACGAGACTGTAGTTTGTATGAACACAGAACAGTGCTTGCATGTGTATGGTGTTTGCTTAGATTTTGTTATTTGAAGTAACAAATGCAAATTTCACATTCCTGACAGGTCCCAAGAGTGTTTGTTAATGGGACTTTTGTTGGAGGTGCTACAGATACTCAAAGACTTCATGAAGAAGGCAAGCTGCTCCCATTAATTAATCAGTGTCAAGTGAAAACAAACTCTGGAACTACTATTTAGCCTCAGTTATCTTTTATATAAAATGGGTAAAAATTCAGACAAGTTAAAAAAAATCACTAAGATGTACTGCAACAGCTGGGCTTAAGCAGCTTCAGACTGTGCTTTTTTGAGTCTCAAGTGATTCTCTGACACAGACTTCACCGAACTGACAAATTTGTCTTCTTGCCTCAGCTTTACCACAACCACAGTGGCAGTTAACGTTATGTATCTCTTGGAACCCAGGTCTAAGATAATCATGTCATTTTTGTTACATCCTCATAATATGCCTCACACTATCAACTGTACAGGAGTTAAAAGTTTTTAAGAATCTTAGTGCCTGGGTGGTTTTTATTTGTTTTCTGCACATAAGTTTCATTTCTGGTTTTGTTCCCACCGTTACACTGTATGGTCAGTACAATGGCTCTGTAGGGGGCCACAGATCAATTATGAAGCAACAAAGTTGTAGTGATGTTACTGTGTAAAACTTGTTGAAAGTTCTGCTACTTCTACACTACTTGTACTACTCATTCAAGTGTTTTTGCCTCCTATTAAAAGCAGTACCTATACTTGCGCTTGTTTTGTGTTTTAACAGTATTGAAACGCTGTATTTTGTGCAAATTCCATTGTAATTTTGTTTATTATTTAACTGTAATTTATGGGAACAAGTTATGCAAACATGGAATCAATCAAGGAAGTCCAGTGGCAACATGCATTGTTCACTTTAATGGAAGCTGAGAGTAGGAGAAGTGAGTTAGTTTCATCATTGCCTTTCATAATCACTCAATCTGATCAGAGTCCAACAAAACCTTCAGCTACCCAGGCTTGCTAACAGCTCAGTTATCATGTTAAAACCAGCTAGGTTTTGACAGTACTGAAATACATTAAGATCTGCTGAAGATCTACAGCAGTCTTCCAAATCCAGCCAACTTGCTTTTAGTTCTTTTGTCATATATGTCTGCAGAAGCAGACATATTGCAGTAGTGAGCTGTTCTCTTGTGCCAGGCCTGGATATGAAGGGTGCAGGATGTCTGACTTCATTTGCCTCCCTCTAATTTCAATATCTGATCACCTCACTACTGAAGTTTAATTCTAATTGGTGCAGTAAAAAGGGAAAAGATGCTTGCAATTTTACAACATTAGGTAACCACCTTGGTCTTTACTCTGCAGTATCAGTCTATATACTGTCATTCAGGAATATCTTCGAGGTGTAAGCCAGATCACCTGTGCCTAATCTGCAGCTACAGACTATGTTATGAACCATTCAGTGCTATTTTGACACTTAAGGCCACACACAATGAGTCCAATATGCATAGAGTTTATTTAGTATTTATATTCTACAGTCAAAAATGCAATTTACTAGCAGTATTAACTTGCAGTTAAATGTCTAAAAAACCTAAATTCAATAGTTTCAGTAAAATGTACATCCAAAGCCAGACCAACCAATGCCAAGACTTGGTTATTTCAAGAAAGCTCATATGTCAGTAGTAAAAACTTCTTTCCTCAGTAAGAGACCATTACAATACTAAAGATGCACAGTTTAGACTAAAAATGCTAGTCAAGGATTTTTATTCAGTCCCTCCTCAAGATAACAAAAGCTCTACACTGATCTTTAGCTAACTAGGATTGCAAGACTATCATCTGAATTTGACAGCTTCCTTTTTGGGATGCAGGTTTGAAATAAATTTAAATAATATTATTTGTAGAAAGTGTTCAGTATGCAGCTGGTCTGCACTGTGCATCTTTAATTCATGTAATTAGAGATAACACACTGACCTCGTGTTTTTACCATTGCAATTTACTACTTATTTTTTCTAATTTCATCATTGTCTTAATTCTTGACAACAACACTTATTAAGTTAAACAAACAAGTGTGCATCTCTCCCTAAATTTATACTTAATAAAAGAATTTATTTTGCATATATGCTGGTATCAAAGTATTCTTTGCCCATCATTCTTAGGCCAGTTATATTTTCTGACAAGGTTAATAATTGTGCACCTGGAAAGCCTGCAAATCCATAATGTAAGTACTCACGGTATGCAATATAGTTTAAAATAACCCTTTGAGTTCTAAATTTCAGAAGTCTCAGGGCATTGTCACTTAAGGCAATATTCCACTCCAATGGTTGAGAAAGCATGCTGTTTGCCTGCAGAGTCCAACAAGTGCCAATTTATTACAGAAAATCATGTTCTTAAGGCAATCAGAGGGTTAATTATGTTTCTTTTTCAACTGCATTAAGGCTCCCCATCCAAATATTTTCTTGTTAATTTTGTGTAATTCCATAGAAAGTAGCAGCAAGACGGTGGCTTCGTTACCAGGTAGCACAAAGCCACCACGTTATGTTTAAGTTGTTTAAACATGATATGGCAGCTGAAGTGTGGTTCTACTCTGGGAAAAAAAAGGGGGGGAAGGAGGCATTCAAAGCCAATCATTAAAACTGTTGCTTTTAAAAAACAAAAAATCATCTCTAGAACAAAAGCTGTTTATCTTACCATAAGTCTCTCCTTAGGCTTTGAATGTTCAAAATTACCCACTAAAATCCTCTGTAATAGGAATTATACTTAAGATAAGCACTCATCCAGCTCAAATACCACGCTCCTAAGAAGCTGGAAGCAAACTCAGTTATTTCACAAAGCAGACAGAACTGTGAATGCACTTATCTGCTCATTTCTTTCACAGGATTCTTCCTCAAGAGTAGAACTACACTTCTAGTTGAGAACATAATGGAACAGACATTTCTTTGTCATTAGTTGCACTTAAAAAAAGCTGGTATCATCAGGAAAACAGCTATCTCCATTATTTGTTAACGAAGCATTTGAGAAGTTCCCAACATACCATGTACACATATGCAAATATATAGATTTAGAATGCAGAAATACCCAGAGAAACCACATTTGACAGTATCAAAATCATCAATCCAACTTTAAGCACATTAACTTAAAGACATCATACTTTCTGCTTAAGTTAAAGTCTTAGCTCAAAGCAGCATACAGCCTTGTTTTACATTCCCCCCTTAAGTCTTACTTGGCAGCGTTGTACACTGTACTGTGTTGTGGTACAATGAAATCTATCATTTCAGCAAAATAGCCATTGGAAAAAATTACTCAAAACTTATCTGTACTCTGTGAACCACTGCAAGCAGCTAAACAAACTTACAAACTGGCAAAATGCTTAACAAACAAGACAAAGTGTGAGCAAGATGACTGACTTGTGCTCTGCTTTATTTCTACACATTCTATTCTTCAAATGTTTTCAATATTGCAGAGAAGCTGCCCATTCATCTAGAGTATTCATTCACATGTTTTTCTTGTTCTGCATGTAACAGCAACTTGACAATATTAAAGGGAATGGAAAGCTCTGACCCACCAAACTAATTCTGAAAAGAAGATTTACATTTGAGAAGCCGTTTTTAAATAGTTCTGTGAAAATAGTACCATTTAATTGCAACAGCAGACGCTGGATTTTTAAAAGAATAAAGATACTTTTGTAATTTATGCAACTTTTAAAACCAAAGATCTGATAAATACAGCAAATTAAATACTCTGTTAGAGAATTATATAACCAAAGAAAGGTAAATAAAGTTGTCCTGCTTTTAAAATTAAGTACTATGACATCAGTTGTGGTATAAGTTGCTTAGCTAAGCTATCATGCTCAACAATGGCATAAAGGCAGAACACAGGCAACAGAAGAGAGGAGGAGAGCATGGAGCGAAGAGAGATTCAAGTATAAACTAAATTTCACTCAGTGATTGGAATTATGGGGAAAAAAAGCCAACATGAACAGAGAAAAGCAGAACATGGGAAAATATGGTGATACCAAAGCCAAACATCAGTGGAACCAACAGTAGTGCTTCAGGTATGACAGCTACAAGTTAGGCACACGATTAAGAAGAACAGTATCTTCCAATGGAGAAAAATATTTTCCTAGTGTTTTTTTCAGTTGGAGCCATTGTTAAAATACATTTCCAAAATGACTGGTGTTCTTCTTTAGCCAAGAACATACACTCTATCAGATAGCCTCTCAACATCCTGCTCCCACAATTATTTAACTGTGGTTTAAAGCAGCAAGTTACTTTACAGCCAGTTTTTAGCGGCCATTGCATACTGGGCAGTTAAACCAGCCTCACTAACTTTGTATCTAATCTAGACTGACCTTTAGACTTCTTCAAGCACAGAAAACTGCAAATTAAGCCCCTGTGTAATTAAGTTCTACAAGCATCCCAAACCCTACTCTCTCTTGCTATACAATTCCTGGCACAAAATTTTAATTCTTGGCAAAATCACAACTGTCTTGATTCATTATACAATGGTGACTCATTGTATTATATTTAGAAGCCTTCCATATTCTTAAGTGTATCACTGCAGTGAAAAAGCCTGCCCCTCTGATGTCCACCGCTTACAGCTCTTCATTATAGATGAACATTTTACTTCAGCTGTGCTGCCAACCATTAGATCCTTTCCTTAATGGTAAAGTGCCTGAATATTACTAGATTATTATGTCTTAGACTAAGAATTATTAGGGAATCACACTGAAATGACAGTCAAACTGAAAGCCTATTAATGGTGACATGTATCAGGAAACCTGCATTCGCCCAGCTGCACTTTTAGACTTAAAGTGTTTATTCTAAACTTCACCATTTTTAAATTCTTTCCTGTTCTATTTTACAGGTAAACTGCAGAGCACAATTACAGCCCCATTTTTCGTTTTATTAGTCCAAGTGTTCCTCCAATGCAAAAGATACTATCAAATTGAGAAAGTCATGTCTCCTCTTTAGTGAAAGGGCAGGTTACTTATGGTGTATTGAATTAGCACCTAAATCTAGCAATTTTGTCTCAGGTCTTGTTTAAAAAGAATCAGAGCACATTATATTACACATTACAATCGCTGCCCCTTCACGTGTTCAGGTACCATTTTAGGAATTACCAGTTTATAGGAGAAATGTGTATTATAGCACATAAGTCATACTGTCCTCCTGAAATCCAGCATGCAGGCAGATTAAAAAACCCATCAACTTTTCCTATGGAAAAGAAAAATGCATCATCATTCTTATGCCACTTAACACAAGACAGTAACAACCCCAGAAAGAAGACAGCAGGAACAGGGGTCAGCACACCACCAAGTAAGCTAACAGCTGAAACACTTTGGTTCTCCCTCTGTGCAAACTTTAAAGGGGGAGCAGATGACAACAGGATCTCAACAGTGTTAGCTTTACATTGGACAGCCACCGCATAAAATATTCTAACAAGATTTTTTGATATGGAGTTAAGGAAAATATTTAGGGGCATATTATGTACTCCAGCACAGATAACTATATCTAGCATCAACAGATAGAGAGCTACATTTTCTATAAGTCCTACTGAAAAATTCACCTTCCCTGTACTTCAAGGAATCATATTTTAAACTGGAACCACTTTCAACATCACAATGCTACTGTAATTTCAGTCACTGTTAATAACTAATGTTTTACCTGCAGTATATTTATGCAGTTAACTGCCAAAAGTTACTTGAAATACCAGTTCAAGTTTCTCATTCCATACTTAGTCCAACACAATTCCTATTACTTCACAA